CGCCTGGCCTGCCTGCCTGCCTGCCTCTGCCCTGGCCTGGCCGCCCCGCGGTGGCGGTCCGCCTGCCTGCCTGCCCTGCCGAAATTGAGTCGTTGCTGGCTTGCTTGCTGCCTGCCTGCCTGCCTGCCTGCCTGCCCGCTTGCTTTTGTGGCCTCCCTTGCCCCTTGCGGCCAAAGTGCCTGGCCTGCCTCGTCTGGCGCCTTCCTGCCTTCCCCCTTTGGCCTACTCTGTACCTAGCCTCTTGTCGCGGGCGGCAGCCCCCTCGTTCATCTCGACCGCGACCGCAGAGCAAAGTCTCCTGCGGCGCAAGACCCTGGCTCGACTCTCAAAGACTAGAGTTAAGGTCGCCTGCTACCCATCTCCGAAGTGTGCGGAGCGACCGTGGTGTTGTGTGCTTGGTCGCATCGCCGCCGCAAACGGAGCGACAAGGACGCGCCGACGGCCGCCGAGGATGGGCCTCGCCGTCAGCGGTTGTGGGGTAGGGACACGTAAGCGTCATGTTTGCCTCGCGTCCTCAGAGGGGCAAGGCTAGGACAGCTAGAGCGGGGCGGGGATCGACGACGACGAGGGGTCCGACCACGATCTCATGACATCAAACAGCCTGGCTGATCGTAGGCTAGGCTAGGTAGCCACAAGAAGCAAGCAAGGAACGCCTCGCTCTTCGTCGTCGCTCCGTCTGGCCATCAATCTCGCTCGACCTGTGTGTCTCGGCGAGGGAAGCGTACCGTTGTTTGGTCAAAGCCGCGGTCACGCATCGAGCCCCTAGAGCAACGACGACGACGATCCGAGATTTGGGCCTCTTCTTAGCGCGGCCAGTTTGCAGATCCTCGCTGCTGGTACTGTACCGCGACCGCTACCGGGCGGCGAGCAGGCGGTCCACTCGCTGGAATCGGCACCAGGCAAGGCATGCCTAGGGCGGGTGCGCCTTGTCGCTCGCCCGCTTGCCTGACTTGGTCCCGGGACAACGACTCTCTGGAACGAGCAGGCTAGGGTACAGTACGATCCTTGGCAGGCTGGGCAGCCGCGGCGGTGGGCCTGCTCTTCCCGAGATCGAGGCCAACCGCCATCACCGAACGACCTCGCTCACCGCCGCCATCGAGATCCATCGACGCCGTCGTTGCCGATCGCGGACCGGATTTAGATTCGACGCAGATCTCGCGCGGCTGGAGGTGGGCAGGCCGGAGGAGGGGCGATGGTGGTGCCTACAACGGTACGCCGACAGACATGCTCTCCGTCCGCCCCCTCTTGTCTTCGCCCGGACCTATCGATGCGGCGGCGCGGTTGCGGCGATAACGACGACGACGCCGGGCAGGCAGCGCAGCAGCGAGCCGCCTGGTGGACTTCGGACCTTGCCCCTCGAAATCCGGCGGCG